GACCAGGGTGTGGGATGGGGTGAGGGAGTTAAGGGTGAAGTGGGTGGCTGGGAGGAACAGGAGCTGCTGGCAGGCTGCATCTCTAAGGCCTGAGGAAGGAGATGATGAAAAAAACCTTCATCCCCCATGTGGCCCTTCCTCATTGCCCTAAGCAACCAGGAGAACCAGCCTCACCACTTGATCATGGGAGGTCCCCTGAGGACCTGGTCCCCAGGAGGACCTGGCAAGAGAAAATGAAAGTAGCCAAAAGGCACCTTAGACTGGCTTTGTAACATCATGAGAGAAGTGGACTCGGAGAGGTTGCTGAACTGTGTGTACTGGCCCTTTCTTTTGGGATTCAGGTCCTCCAAACCCTATGCTGGCCATCAACTCCGCTTCCGTGAGCAAGGGAGCAGCCCCAGCCCTTGGGAGGGAGGGAGGGAGGGAGAGAGGGAAGGGAGCCTGCAGGGCCACCCCTTCCCAGACGCTGCAGTAGCGCCAGGAATCCTGCCCTGCATCCCCGCTTTACTTTGCCCCTCACTTGGCTGCGGCGTAAAGGAATCAAGGCCTATGTCATATAATTGTAGGTGTCAGCGTGGAAAGTGGCTGTGTATGCACACTCTCACAGGTCTTTCTGTGTCTGCCCCAGCGATTCCCGGGACTCTCACTCCCAAACCCCCAGCCCACGGCGCTGTGGGGCCCGGCTCCTGTGGAAGACTGGAGGCTGCACAGAGCCGGTGGCCTGTGGACCCAGCGCAGCGCGCGTGATGCAGCTGCGCCAGGACCCGGCCTCCAAGTCTGCGCACCCACGGAGCTGCAGAGGCTGTGGAGAGAGGGTTGAGGGGGTGTTCCAGGAGGCGGCTGGACCCAGGCAGGAGAGGCCCAACCGCCCAAGCAGGAGGTGCCCCAGAAGAGCGCGTTCCTTTAGCACCGTCACTCCGCCCCACCCCCCATTCCTCTCTCCTGGGACCTTTTTGTATCCATGCACAGCTGGGGGCTCCCTCACCCCCCACCCCTGGGCCTCCCCATACAGAATAAAGTCAGTCTGTATTTAATGGTTATGGCGGATGTGAGAGGGATTTGGCAGAGGTAGGAGAGAGGCCTTTGGCTCTCAAATATCGCTCCTTACGTCGTGTGAGTCTACCAACCCACCACGACCCCATATTCTTGTGTGGGTGTCTGACTCGAATGACAAGCGAGCTGATTTTTTCAGTACATAGCTGGGAAATGTAGTGAGTGATAATAGAGATTTCTCTTTCATTTTTTACGCTTGACTTGGTTATTGTTGCTTTTCTTTTCCCGTGATTCCTTCTGAGGATTAGCTCTGACTTCCCCACTATTGGCGGTCAAAGTGGCCCCGACTCGGGATGACAATTGACGGGGATCAAGGGATTGCCCATTCTGTGCCTGTAAGAACGGATTCGTGCCAGAGAAACTCATCAAGTGGAGGCGGAGAATAAAGACCGTTCGGGGGTAAATGTATTCATTGAGAAGGGTTCTCCCAAATTGCTTCCAAGTTTTTTTAATGAAAAGTAACGATTGCAGCAATCAGCGGCTTTTTGGCGGATTACAAATCTGGAGGGAGCTGTGGCGCTGCATTGAAAAGCGCCCCCCCTCCCCCAGGCAGCCGGTTCACAGGAGCAGTGCTAGGGTGGGGGTCCAGTCGCCAGACAAAGGCGGGAACAGACGAGCTGAGGAGGGTGCCTCTGGGGTGCTCGAGCGTGCGCACCCAGTAACTGGACGAAGGGTCTTCCACCTTGGTAGCACTTTTGTGGTGGGGATCCCCAGAGGAAGATGAGGGGCAGGGAGCAGGGGAAGTGCCAAGAGAGACCGATCCCACCACCGCCTCTGAGTAAATTCCAGGCATCTGGAATGAGGCAGGTGCACTAGAGGAACAGGTGACTGTGGAGGGCAGAGGAACGGAAGGTGCGACCTCGTCCCCCACCTCCACCTCAGACCTATGAATGCCAGTTCTTCTTTTTGGGACATGTTATTTTACAAACTGGAACCAAAGCATGGCTCGGTCTGGGTAGGATCTTACCTAGGTGTTAAACAGACAGGAGGGAAAACTAGGTCCCCTCCTTCTCCAAGGAGGGGGCAGAACCTCCGACTGCAGTACCCTGATCAGCTGGACTCGCACCAGTTCTAATGATGCTTCCATATACTTTGATATGGCTCACACCACTCCCCTCTGCCACTGAGGAACCGGAATGCATGCCCTCACCCTCAAGGAATCCTGGTGTACAGTCTCCAGACCTGCAGGCAGGCCCAGGCGGAGGGGCTCCAAACCCCAGGACTGGGAGAGTTGCCTTAGAAAGTGGGGGGAGGGGGAATGCAGAGAGCTAACGCTGTTCCCACAGAGGTTGAAATCAGCAGCAGCAACTTAAGGCTGCTCACATTCATTCTGACTTTTTTATACATTAAAAAAAAATAGTGTATCTTAGCAGGGGTGTGAGAGGTATGTTTTTTCACATCGACTTCTCTAAGGTTCTCTGGAGTAAATAAGGGGAGTAGAGAGACAAGGGTGGGGAAGAGAAGAAAAAGACTCTCCCCTCTCCCACTCACCCCCCTTCTCAAGTTTAAAAAGAATAAATGCAGCAGGCAAGTCCATAGCCCTGAAGGTTTAACTTTTTTTCTTTGCAGCTTGTCAATGCGACCATTGCTTTGATGGGAGGCTCCTCAAGGTGACACATTTCTGAACTTCACCCCCTTTTCAAACTAACTCCCTACCTCCTTGTTAGTGGCCAGCTCTGAACTTCTGCAGAGTGTTTTTGTGTGAGTCAAGGCTCATTCACGGGCGCTTTTGTGGGCCTCTCCTCCTTTCAGGCCTCAGCGTGTTACACCAATTAAAGGGCGACGTGCTGTAAATGTAATGGGCCGCGCATCAATTGTTTCTGACAAGCAACAAAACACATAGATCCACCCCTTAGATTAGGCCGTTGAAGGGGAGGTTGAGGCCGGTCAGTTTACTGAATAGTTTGTGAACTGTAATTCTGAGGACTCCAGTGAAAAAAAGTCTCTTCCCCCCTCCCTTGCCTTGCTCCCCCTCCCCAAAAGTACCAAAGAAGAAAAGAGAGAAACAAGCGACATCTATGGCGCAAAATCGGGGTCACTAGAGAAAAAAACCTGGGTGAGGGACTTGTCCTTTCATTTGGACTGCCTGGAAAACTTTAGTTCTTTCCCCTCCTCCCTACTCTTTGAACCTGGTCATCAGTTTTACTGGCCACAGCAGCCTTCTCCCCTGATGGTGAGCTTGGTCCCATGACATTAGACATTGGATCAGGGTAAGAATTAGGAATAGTCAGGTTGCTATAGAAAATTCCGTTGATTTCATTGATCTGGTCCTGGTGGGACATCAGTGAGTCACAGGCTGCAGCTTCCCCTGGCAGGTCACTCAACCCTGGCTTCCCTTCCAGCCTCCAGTCCTTCTCCTCAGCCTTGCCTGCTATAAAGGTCTCTAACGCCAGCACTCTGCCTGGGCTCTCTCTGTCCTCCTAAGATTTCCTTCTCTTTTCCAGTGTGTTGGATCTTACCTGGCTTCCGCAGCTCTCTGTCACCACCTGAACTGTAAAGAGCACATTTCACCTGGAAAGGAGATGTTGAGAAATCACCTACTCACTCCATCTTCATCACAAGTTCTGTGGCCAAGAAAAGAGAAGTGACTTGTCCAAGGTCACAAAGCAAGTAGCCGAGCCGTGACTGGAGTTCAGATTTCCCATCCCATCAAGCACACTCCCACAGCTCGCTGCCCTGCCTTCCCAACCTGCCTCTTAGATGGTTCCTCTGCCTTGCATCATGCTCAGGTACTCCTGAGCTCCTGAGGCTTTGCTTATTTGGTCTTGCTCTCACTCTCTTGCTCTCCCATCCTACCACACTCTGCCCATCCCTAGCCTTCTCAAATCAACTCTTCAACAGATAGTTATTAAATATCAGTTACATACAAAGAACATTTTGCCTTTTCTATGAAACTTTCCCAGTCCACTCCCCAAACTCCTCTAGCTGGAAAACACCCCATCAGTTTCTGCCTGGAAATCTCCTATCTGTTCTTCAAAACCCTGCTCAAAAGATACATCTGTGAAGCCCTCTCATGTGCAGAGACCCTCAAGGAAGGAAGGAGGTTTAACCTCACTGAGGAACTTAATGAAGCCAGTGTAAGTGGAAAGAAGGGCAAAGGTCAGATCTCCTAGCTTGTGGGTCACATTAAGGATTTGGAATTTTACTTTGGAAGCAATGCGAAGCCATTGAACAGCTTTGAGCAGTGCAAGTCCCTTGTCTAGACTGAATTTCTTGAGAACAGACTGGGTCCTTTCCATCTTTGTGTCCTTCTACTGCTGTCCCAGTGTCTGGTATTTAAGGCTCAAAAACCATTTCCTTATTACATAAGTGAACCAATAACTCATTAAATGCACATCACCCAGCCCTTCCTATCTCTTAATTCTGGCTAACCAGGTTGTAAATGCCAGGGTGGTGTGGAACCAAGTCACAGGAACCAAGTGACGATGTCTTTGAATTCTTAACAGAACCTAATTGAACATGTTCCATGCTAGGAATAAAGTATACACTTGTCTATTGACTAAAAGTATGTAAGGGAAAGAACCAAGAATAAGAACAAAGATAGAGACTTATCTTTCCCAGTACTAACAGCCTTAACTTGGGGAATGTGTGGCTTAAACCACTCTGAAGCCTTGGTTTCTTCATTAATAAAATGGGGACAATGCTACTTTATTCATGGATTATGAGGACTAAGTACCATTTGTATGATAATAACTTCATTGCAAAGTTAATGAATGAAAATTAGTGCACTCTTCTGGGTCAAGGCAAGACCAGTGGTGAAGGCACCACTTTAAAATGACAAAAGATGTTCCAGGAGCAGTAAGGATCCTGGAAGAACTACTCTGATTCACAGCAGCCTTCCCTTCTCTTGCTGTTGGCTCAGAGCCCAGCTGGTCCCACATTTTCCCCCAGGGCGTGTCACCACTGTGACACCCTTCACATTTGGCTCCCTCTGCTCTTGCTCTCAGAAGCCTGTTTCAGAGAAGCCCGAATTCCCTTGTTGCACGTAGAAGGCTGCACTTGGAGACAGGACAACTAGATGCTGGGACACCATGCAGAAATCACACAGACTCTCAACCCTGCTAAACCAGGCCAAAGAACCACTCATGGCAAGAGCAGACGGAGCCCACCAGCCCCCTGGCTGCTCACCAGACTCTACTGCCCAGTGACTGTGGCTCTTGTCCTGGAGGCCTGCATGTCCTCAGGGATGAAATGTGAGTAAAAGAGCAGAGACTGTGGTGTGTTGGGGTGAGCATGCTTGTGTGTCTGTGTGTTCATGTTCCAAAAGCACATGAATTTTAGCCTCTGACAAACAGTGGAAAAGAAACGTCAAAGCGGAAAGGAAATTTTTTTGTTTAAGTTTCTATATCCAAATGAAATTTCTTTTAAAAAGCTACCTCTTAACTACCATTTAAGAACAGAGAGGAGAGAGACATAGGCTTCTTACCTTTCCCTATTGTGCCTTCATCTGAACATTAAAAAAAAAAATCTCAAAAAGCAGAAGTAAAAGCTCATATTCATAAAACTCTGAAGCCAAGTCAGCCAGCCACCCTGCCAGGGAGAACTCCAGGAGCTTGCGGAGGCATCCAGGGGGGTGGTCGGAATCGTTTGACTAGTCACGTCCTCCCCCTCCCCGTGGAGATGGCTGGTGAGTCTGAGGAGCTAAGTAGATGCCAAACCAGAGGCCTGATGTGGGAATGAATATGACTTTAGAGACTTTTCACTCAATCCTGACGTGTGTGTTGCTAAATCCTCTCCCATGGACCTCAGACAGCAACAAGAGCTATCTTACCTCCTCCTACTGATGCATACATCCCTCTGCCCCAAGGAATGCATGTTTCTTCAGCTTAGTGTCACCTTTCTCAACGGTCAGTGATTTCAGTCAGAGATTCTAGACACTTCTTTGTATTTTCCTGCACCAGAAACCTCTCAGAGGATATTTTTCAGATGATCTCCTCCACAGCTGATGGAGTTGTTCATTTTCATAAGATAACTTTTGGGGCTGGGGAGTGCAAGGTAGTGGAGGGGGCTAGTTGCCGAGCATCACTGGGGGAACGGAGGGTATAGAGGAATTTGCCTGGGGTGTGAGAAGACAGGAGCTTTGGAAGAAAAGACCTAGAGCCTCTAATGCCTGAAGAAGAGATATTCAAACGTGGTTTATGACAGTGCCTGTGCCACATGAAAGCAGAGCAGCATTTCCCTTACCCCTGGGTGGAAGGTGGGGAGGCAGAAACCAAAACAAGTGAATTCAATTATATCTGAAAAAGAATAGGCTAAATGAGGATTCAGTCCTTGGGCCTGTTCCAGGAAATATTTGTGAAAAGTTGGTTGAAAGAATACCACTATCCAAGCCTAATTTCTCTATTATATAAAGGCCCAAACTTCTTTGCAGTTTCTGATTAGAAAATGTTTCCCTGATTTTGTCTTTGCTACTGGCGTGTGACCTCTTAATTTAATTTTGGTCTTTGCTTATACAAACCAATTGCTGTGGAAACTTTTTCCTGTGGTGCAGCAAAGACAGGGGGGAAAGTAGAACATCAGTAATTATATATTGTGTTTCTAATTCACTTAATTAGTAGTTATCAAGCATCCTTAATGGTTCATAGCCACGAACTAGGTTTATATCTGAGGGCATCAGCCTGCTTCAGAAATCTCTCATGTGTGTCTCTGTGATACAGAAAGAGGGAGATTGTTCTTAGTAGACTGAGGTTAGAATCTACTGGTCTGATGCCCCAACACTTTTCTGCTGCCTTCTGCCTATGCCTCACTCCTAGCTGAGCCACTGAGGTTGCTGCCCGGTCAGTTATGCCACTGCCCAATATACCCAAATAGTCAGTCAGTCAGAGGGAAGATCTAAAATCTGATATTATAAAAAAAAATTAATTTTTGACTTTTCAGTCACTTGCCTGAGCTGCTAAAGAAAATGTTCTTCGGTTTTTCCAATTCCTCTTCTCAGAGAGTGCTGTTAACTTTTTGAGAGAACTCTTATGTCTATGGGAAATGTTGTGCATTTGAGAAAAAAGACTAAATTAGTGAGAAAGCAAAGACTTAGAATACGTGGTGCATTTTTTATCATGTGCCATTCCACAGCAGATGAAATTCAGAGATGTTACATTCAGTTGTGTAAGTTTCACACTGAACAATTACAGAGGAAAATGTTCCATCAGACTATGAATGGAATTGGGTCTTCTGCTCATGGGGGTGGGAGGTAAGGAAGAAGGGTCCCTCACATGCTAGTGATCTTTGTTTCACCAATTAATGAAACTGTGATAGACATTGAAAATAATATATTTCATTTGGATGAAATGACAGATTTTAATCTCTGGCCCCAGGCAACTTGGGTCTGACTCTGTGTCTGCCATATGTCAGCTGAGTTATTGTGGACAAATTGCTTCATCTTTCTGTGTTTCAATTCCTCATCTATAAAATAATAGATAAAGTTTAATAAAAAGAGTAATTGCTTCATAGCTTTTTGAGGATTGAATAAATTCATACATATAAATAGATTAGGATAGTATCTAGCACATAATAATTGCTCAATTAATATTAGCTGTTGTTATTATCATGTATTATATTGAAAGACATGTATTTTGTGACAAGGGATAGAAACACAGCTTTCTTACTGTTCTGTTTGCATGCGTACTAAGTTGCTTCAGTTGTGTCCGACTCTTTGCAACCCTAGGGACTGTAGCCCACCAGGCTGTTCTGTCCATGGGATTCTCCAAGCAAGAATACTGGAGTGGGTTGCCATGCCCTCCTCCAGGGGATCTTCCCTACCCAGAGATTGAACCCACGTCTCTTATGCATCCTGCATTGGCAGGCAGGTTCTTTACCACTAGTGCTACCTGGGATGCCCACTGTTCTGTTCAGAAAATAGTAAAGGCCCTACATGGTTTGGCAGGAAGAAGGTATGTACTCAAGTAGGACAGAACAGGTTTAATTCTGTTATAACCATCTATTGTGACTTTGGCCATGTCCTCTATAGCTGCAGTCTCCTCATAAGCAAACTGAGGTTGATGAAAATATCTATCTTGCAAGGCTGGTGTGAAGATTAAAGACAAAACATGCAAAGTGTTCAGTACAGTGCCTGACCCTGGACAGACTCTCAAATAGTGTTAGCTGTTGGAGTAGCTATTGGAATAGTGTTAGTATATTGGAGTAGAGCCAAGACATGACATTGGGATACTGTTATATATAGTCAATGTTCCAGCTTTGGTGAAAAAAATCTTCTCCCCCACCTCAGCCAAGGACAGTGATCAAAAAATTATTATGTGGGATTTATATTCAGGCCCAAGCCCTCTTCTCAGTTGCTGGACTTTGGTGTTTGTCCTGCTTCCGCCAACTCGTTCTAGGCCCTGGTCAAAAGAAACATTTGCAGGAACTCAGAAAATAGACCAGGGGAGATGGAGCATATATCCTTAGTGCCTTTTTGATGTGTGAGTGTTTCAAGTACGAGACTGTCAGCTCCATGAGGACAAGGATCATGTCTATTCAACAACATGTTCCCAATATCCTTGGTGAGTATTTGTTGAATAAGCTTAAAAAAAATGAATACACTTTTAATGACTTTCTTGTACAGTAGCAACTTAGTTAAATGTATACTCAGTGAATGAGCCCTCAACTTATATATTTGTTTTCTTACTTTCTTACTTTCACTTTGTGGGGAAAAAAAAAGTCAACAAAACTAGTTCCTATGAGGAATTTGGTATCAAAAAAAAGGAAAAAAAACACTAATATGATCTAGAATATGCACAAATTCTGCCCAATTTCCTACCCTTATATATGGAGATCATTCACACTATAAAAGTCATTCAACAAACATTTATAGTCCAAATCCTATATACCAGAGATAAAAACTGAAGCTTTCAACTTTCAAGTTAATTTCACATATAAATTTAAAGTGATTACCTCCAGATAAAAAGAAAAGTATTCCTACTGTCATTTCCTCTTTCTCGTTGGAGGAAAGCAGGGTTCAGAGAGGCTCAGTGACATGCCTGAGGTTCCTTGGATGATACAGCTGGGATGAATGTGGTGTTCTGACTCTCTAAACTCAGTACTGTTTCTACTTTTCCCTGAGATCTCTTCCATGGGAATTGCTATTAAAACTTATGATTCACATATCACCAAAAGGGAGCAAATATTGTCACTATCTTAAAAAGAGAGGAAAGTAAACATTTTAGAAACACTTTACAATAGAGTTTTTTTTAATAAAAGAATTTTGTGGTAACACAAAATTTTTATCAGAAAATGAGTCATAATACTTCACTCAGTATCCCTATTATCCAAACTTAAATCTAATTATTTAGGACTTAAAATAGACAAAATAAGGTATCTTTGGACGTTTCTAACAATCTGAACAGAAATTTTCAGCGTGAATTTCCTCAGTGGATGTTTTATGATTGACAACCCCAGCCAGGCCCATTCCACCTTGAGGTGGCTGAGAGAGCCTGTGTAAGAGAGGGTGGGTAGACCTACCCAGGTGAACTAACAGGAGAAGCCACAGGGCCTGGTGGTAAGGAGCAGGGTGGGGGAAAGAGGAAGAAATAACTGTAGTTTCCCAAGAAGTCCTGCTAGACTTCCACTGTATCCTTTGAATAACGACCCCTCCCCCAATACATAAGTAAGTTTGAATGGGTCTTTAACCCTTTCAGTCAAATTTGCTTTGATTAGGACAATTGTTACAAAGGCCACCCTCAAGACGAATTGGAGGTAAGGGGTAAAGAATCATCCCAGGGAAAACTTCAGTGCCTTGTGTCCTTCAATCTCCCCACCCTCACCTACTTCTTAGCCACTCCCCTGTAGGTGTCCCACACTCACATTCTGACCTTTGCTTCTGAAAGATCCTAACTGCTGTCCTTTTAAGCCTATCCTTTTTGGAAAGTGCCTCAAGTTTCAAAATCACTGTTACAATGAGCTTTTCAGGTAGGTGCTAAGATCTGACCAAGTAACTTACCCTAACGTGAGTTATGCCTAGAGAATTAACAATGCAAAAGAAGATCTTCGGAGCGTAAATGAAACTCTGATCTGTGGGGTTTATGCCTGAAATGTTTCAGGGGCCCATGGATAGAGTCTTCTGAGTCAGGTGCTCACCCTGAGCAATAAGCTGAGGACACAGGAACATGTACCCCATGGGGCAGGTGAGGGTAGATTATTTTAGAAAGAGATACGTGCGGGGGCAGTGATTGATATCTCCTTTAGATGGTTCTTATATCTG